AAAAATAACCGGTAAAGATGGCAAAAGGAATGAGAAGGTCTTCCAATGTTATAATTAATATAAATCTAATAATAACAGCCTCCCAGAAGGATGTTGGAGCTGGACTTACTGAGACTTCATCATGAGTTTATTAGATGAAATTTCCAGCTATATCTCGGATGATGTCGCCTCATTCTGCCCGATGTTAGATATAGCTGGAAATTTCATCTAATAAACTCATGGTGAAGTCCCAGTAAGTCTCAGTATTAACAGTGATTAACAACGGATCGCATGGCATGGTGGCTCGTAAAATTAAGGATGAATTTCACTTGAGTTAAATTTTCATTTTCAATTTTACAATAACTTACAAATTTCTAGCGCGCTGATTAGCGGATTTCATGGTTAATAATGGTACAGACAAATAAAGCTGTCGTCATCGAGCGCGAGCTTTTTCCCTTGGTTGTTTTTATCGCTAGAAAAGAGGCATTTTTCTTGTTTTGGTTATTATAAAAAACAAATTTACTTCAGACTTACGCCTCGTCGATCCACACTATAGGACAGACGCATAAAAAAACTGTCTGTTTGTTAAATTGCTAGAGTCGCGAAATTATTCCTTTCTTTTCTTCGGCCCCCTGCAATTACCAATCTACAAATCAAAATTTTGAGTCTTGAAATTCATTTCTCAAGTACTTCTTGTGTGACTCACTGATGGAATGCTCAACACTTGGAGATATTTCAACGAAATCCCAACTAAAGTAAGGAAAACGTTGACTGATGCATTGATTCCTGGTGTGATAGTAGCGAGTTGTTTCTTTCGCTGATGCCCTGCGCTTTGACCAATCACCATTGACTGGGTAGAACCAACGTTCCTTGTGTCCAAAAACCATGTCGAAGGGCACGATTTTCTTGCGATGACAGAAGTCTGTTTCGCAAGACTTGCACACCTTCGCATCTTTAGGGAGGAACATCAAGACAAAGGGGTTGTCATTATGGCGTATTTCTTTATATACCTGGCTTTCTTTGGGAGGCACCTCTTTTGTATTTCCTCGTTCAGGCCTAAAGGAGTATTTGTTTCTAGCACCCTTCTTCCCTGCTGTTTGCTTGTCAACGTCATGTTCTGCGAGGGCAGTGCGACCTTTTCCGCCTTTTTTGAATTTCTTCTTAAGGAAATCGAAGTGGGCCGGTAGAATTGATTGACGTGCAGCAACAGCAATGGAGTGCTTACAAATGCCGTCATGCCGATATCTCCCGCAAACACATGCCACGTGGTTGCTGTACACTGTCACAAGCACACATCCATTTTTTGCGCTCCGACTGGCTACCTCAAATTTCAGATTCCCTCCCGTTGCAAGTGAAGCTTTCGGTTGGATGGCTTTCGGGTGATTGGCTAAGTTGAGTACTTCTCTCTTCAATGCAGTGGCGTTGTCATTTGAGTACCCGAAATGAACAGTTAGGACATTTGAGACATCAAGCTGTAGGTCTTTGAATTCTGTGCGTTCTCTGTCTGTATCTAGACTCGGCCAAGGTACCTCCTTCTGCTCGAATATTTCTTCCATTGACAGTTTCTGCATGCGTTCAATATAACTGGTCCTCATGTCAGGTGACCATTCAAACCAGATGTCCGCAGGTACCTGTAAATACTTGCTACAGTCAGCCAGCTCGTATTCATCGCTTACACCAGCAACTGCTGCCTGTAGCTCCTCCATGTGATGGTTGTGTACTGCTTCGAACACGTGTCGTGTAAATTCAAGCTTACTCAAATGCGTTGTGCCGCGCTGTTTAAGAAAACTGTTTCTTGCTGCTTTCATGACATTGTTCATGGATTCCGAACAGTTTGTGTAGCACCTTGTGGGTTTTCCTTCCTTTYCATCAAGAAGCCCAGCCTTTCTTCTGACTTTATCGACCATGTGATTCTTCATCATTTTTCGGTTATTATTCAAGTAAGACCAGTACTTGGGCGAGTAGCTGCTGTCTTTTCCAAGGATCTGGATTTCTTGTCTTTCCAAATCCTCTTTTGTCGACTTCAAACGGTTGCGCAAGTCCTTCCCGTCTGTCGCATCAAGAATGCCTTCAACTTTCCCTCGTACGCCAAACGTCTTATCCAAAAAGTACTTTTGGTCTTTTACACTCCTAACACCCAATTGCCTTAATTTGTCCTTGCAGTTACCTTCGAAGTGTTTAAAACATCGCAGACTCTGTGAATGCTTTAATTTCTCTTCAAATGCCTGCTGAAGGGCTGCCTCCCCATCAGTGACGAAACCTTTGGCATTTTCCAAACCGCTGCATTTTCTCGAACAGGTTGCCGCCATCGTTTGGTAAGAAGCAGCTGATTTATTGTGGTGGATCATAGTTGGACCCAAGAAAATTGGACTTTCACCGGTCCGCTTAGATTTGAGAAGAACATTTTTGAAGACCACAGGAGTCACTTCAAATTTACCTAAACTGAAAGTGGGATCGATACTGAAAGGATGGCTTAACATGTCCGAAGTGGTACACCGCACAAATTCACGGCACATAGCAGATGTTCCAAGTACCCATAGATCTTCTGGATAGTCCGAGTGGTGAAGTACAAGATCCTCCCTATCACGGGCATACTTCAGAAGATCACCAACATCATCACGGCCATCTTGTTGCGCTTTAGATTTAGCATTGTAAAGTTGATGTTTCCCGCGAGGTAGGTCGGCCACAGAAGCTGCACCGCAAACTCCTCCCACATTTTTTCTTAGACTTTCATACACACCCCTGGACGGTTTGGTTTGAATATTCTCTTGGATGGAACGCAATGAACTCTTTTTCATAGGGTAAAAAGGAGTTGGATTAGATTTTCTGCAATTTCCATGTTGCTGCACATTCACTTCCACCTTCACTTCCACCTTCTGTAAATCATTAAGGACATGGTACTGCAAGAGGCAAACATCCCCAACGAATTTTCCATTATGATCTTTCAGAAGAAAAATTGAGCGTACAAGAGAAGGTGCAGCCTTATTTTTCTTTGAATTGATGATGAAATGGTACATTGAAGGAGATTTCAAAGGTAATTTCTTACGGGCAATCAAAGACCACACATCATTCTCTTTCTCTATTGTCCATAAACCACAACGCAGAACACCACTGTAAACTCCGTTCATGTCTGCCTTTATGTCTTCCCAATCGGAGAACCATTTCAAATCAATCAAGAATGCAGCGTTTTCGCGCACTTTCAGGGGTTGCTTGGTGCATTTACGAACTTGAGTTGCGGTCAGAATAGTAATTGCTTCCTCGATACTAAATCGCTGGTCACGCCCTTTCTCATATTTGGGGATTCTTGGATCATCGTTCCAGTGCTCGGGAGTCTACCAAAAAATATATTTGCATAATTATATATTTTTTCCATTTTATTTCCTCATTAATGCTGCCTAGTAACCAAAATTTCTTTCTTACCTCATAATTATTTTCTGTACCACTTCCTAAAGATTTGTATTTGCTGGATACTAGATTAACCTATTAACAAATTAATAAAATTGATGGAATTAAAAACAAATTGAAATGAATTTCGTTAAGAAAACAGCATGCGGATATCGACAGGTCTGCAGAAGTGATTAAAATTCAATTGAAATTTTAGAAGTCATTTGATTCGTAAGGTCGACTTTGTCTCCTTAGTTTTCACCCTTTATGCCCTTTTCTCATTTTGTGCACCGCCCCACGCTAACCGACATTGTGCTTCAAATTTGTGTCTTTTTTTGGATTTTTTGTTTTGTTTGGTTGGTTTATGTTGGGAAAGTTTTGCTGTTTTGTTGATTGCCGTCACGATTGAAAGTTCAAGAGATCGTTTTCACTTAAAGATTTGCCCCCCGAATATGGTTATTACAGAATTATTTCCTGAATTATCGTCAAACTTACTTGTGAATCGATTGCCGCTGAGCATGTATTGGTGGTTGCTGCACCTTTGCTATCGTCAAATGGACCTGTAGAGCCTCCATCCTCGTTATCTGTGCAGCATTTCTCATCAGAGCTAGGGGGACTGCCGTCGGAAGTAATGGTGATATCACAAACCAGAAGCCCATCATCCTGAATAACTCTAGTTATAATGCACTCATTGTCATCTCTCACAGGAAGAACTTGAATGTCGTCACTAGGACCAAGTACTTCATGGCTGCTCAAAAAAATCCTTGAATCTTTTGCAACGCCTGATCCCTTCTTGGCCAAACCATCAACATCACTCCTGTCATCAAAGCCATGATGGGGACTGCCTCTCGACGCCTCCTCAGTCACACCATCAACATCACTCCCGTCATCAAAGTCACGATGGGGACTGCCTCTCGAACCCTCCTCAGTCACACCTTCAACATCACTCCCGTCATCAAAGCCACGATAGGTACTGCCTCTCGAAGCCTCCTCAGTCACATCATCAACATCACTTCCCCCTCTCGACCCCTCCTCAGTCACAATATCAACATCACTTCCTTCATCCAAGTCATGATGGGGACTGTCCTTTGTGTTATACTTAGAAGTCTTTCTCTTCTTCGGATGACATGTAAGGTTTGTGTCTTGAGTGTCTTGAGCCAGTCTTTTCTGGTGTGTTTGTGAAAAATTGACACTGCAATAGAGAAATCACACTCATGGGTTTAGGGTGAGTGAATACAAGATATAGGCGCTCATATCACATTYGTGTACTGACGATATGTTTCAATAGCCAAATACCCGGTAATTACTTCCAGGTAAATTCGATAGCATAGTGTCTACAGTTTACGAATAAGCAGTAGAGAAATAAAGAAAGAAAGTGATGGAAATAATAAAAGTTGAAATTAATAAATAAAGAGAGAAGAAACGAAATAATTTGAAGAAAACGATTGGGAAGGGAAAATAAAGAATAGATGTAGAGGTTATCAATCGGCTATGCAAACAAATACGGCTGTGTATTTTTACTTGTTTCGAACACATTTTGGTCAGCCTTTACTAACTAGGCAGAAAAATACAAGCGACGATTGAAATGTATAGCCGTGTTGGCTGCATAAACGATTAATAAAGTGTTTATAAATTATTTATACAAAGAATTTACCGGTTTCACTGATGCTTTATTGAAAATCATTTAATCGTGTATCGATCGCTTCAGTATGGTTTTGAGAGCCTTGCGCGCGCTCTTCAAGATCATTAAACTATAATTTGATTTGATAAGAGATTGTCAGATCAACCGTTAATAACCTGCTACGGCATAATGTCAGGGCATCTTTTCCCATACATTCTTTGTATAAATATATAATAAAAGAGTGTGTTGTTATAAAAAATACCTTATGCATTCTTCAATTATTAAAAAGGATTGCAAGGCCTTTCTATCTACTCCACTGATTGCCAGTCGTTTCCAGACCCACGCACACAGATTTCTTTGTGAGGAAAGATCTTTACCAAGGAACACTTTGAGAAGGCCAGTGTTATTTCCACCAAGTTCTGGTGTGATTGTATGAGTGTCGACAACGAAAAGTCTTCCTGATCGACAGCCAATGACAAATATATACATCCCACATGTATAAATGGCAACTTTTRCTGCATTRGTTTCAGCCAGTTTTCCCACGACTTTGCATAATATCTCTCTACCACTCTTTGTGAATACTCTTGAGGATGTGATAATCTCTTCAAAAAGGTCATACACTTCTTGTACGATGTTGGCCTTGCGCATTATTGAATATGCTTCATGCATGTCGTACATTCGTTCGATATCTCTATACCGATTGAAGCGGTCTGGCATTGTAAAAAGCAAGTTACTGATGTTCTCACCAAAGAACTTCCACTCATCCAAAGCAGCGCTGAGGCTAGGAAGGTCGTCATCTTGCCTTTCTGCTAGAACACGTCCAGCAATCAAGATCGATAAGAAAGAGCAGCTATTCGTTGCATCTCCAGCAATCATGCTAATCACAGGAAGGGCACCGGTACCCGCTGCTACGATTTGGTCGTGTTGCTCAACAGCAGAACTTTGGCTTATAGCAAGTGGTATGTCCCTACAGACTGGATCTTCTCTAGGCTTGAGCATATCAACTAAACACGATGCGGTGATCCTCTTTGTTGAATCAAAATCTGTGCATTTCTCAAAGACCCACTCTAGAGTCAACCACGTCGTTGCTT